TGATTATGGCATGTACAGCATCTCAGTTGACCAGGATGAAAACTCCATTTGGTTTTGGCATCTGCCATATGCAGGTGACTTTTTAAAAACAGATTTGGTCTTGTATATTAATGCTACTGCAAGCGAAAATATCTCTTCCCACTGCCAAATTAATTTTTTACCATCAATTTGCCATCATATTCAAATACACATCATATTAGGGTAGCCTGATGCAAGAAAGTTTCTTTTAAGAAGGGAATGAAGACACATATAGTATGGTGATGCTTTGTAATTATAGGATATTGAAAGTCATTCAAGTGCTGGCCACAATTCAGCCCTGACCCTTCATGAGGTAGAGGGACAAATTTCTGACCTGTTCCTCCTTCTGCCGCTGATAATGTGTGAGTTTCCGCTCCAACCGTTGCTTCTCGGCCTCCCAGGACTCCTCGAGATCTTTCATTCTCGTCTTCATGTCGTCATTCTCGGACTGCAGGCGCTTCAGCTCGACCTCCCGGAACCCACCGACGGCTTTGGCATCGGTTGCAGCCTGGAAGAGGCAATTGAGAGCCTCGCGAGCATGATGAAGTGATGTGATTCCATCCCAGCTGGCACTTCCTTCCTCCTTGGAGAACACATTCTCCTGCAAATTGGTGATCTGCGCCTGTCGCATTTCTAGTACCTCCTCCAGCTCAGTGATTTCCTTCTGAAGCACCACTTGCTTCTCTTTGTCTGATTCACCAGCATACTGTTCCTGGAATAGAAATATGATATTCAAAACTTGAATCAAACCACAGCATGGAGGAAAAGAAGACCAAACCAAGAAAATACAGACCCGAAGGGCACGGAGACGATTCACAATCTCCGAGCGATCGTCCATGAGTTCCTTGATGGCCAGCTGAGCTTCCTTGTTTCCAGCAGCCAAGTCCAACTCCTGCTGAATCCACGCTGACATGGCTTGGGGACGATTGGCAGCCTTCTGAGCCATGAGCACGGATCGTGTCTTGGCTACCTCACATTGTTTGTTCAAGGTTTCCTGTCGTGAGAAGGTACGAGATAAGTCATCTCTGAGATGTGGCAAAATTCTGGGCCCTGGGACATGTGCAAAAACATAAATCGAGGCTTGCAGACCTTGAGTCGACGGTTGAGGGCCTGCGTGCGCTCCATGCGTTGACGGAGAGCATCCTGCTCCCTGGCATGCTGCTGCTTCATGCGCACCGTTGCTGCTTCCCGTTTCCGGTCCTGCTCCTTCAGCTTGTGGATTTCTCTTTCCTTCTCCACCTTCCATTTGCGGAACTGGTTGCTCGCCTCCTGCATCTGTTTCATCAGCTTCACCCTCGTCTGCTTCATCACCTGAAGCACACAAGACGGCTCAGTGAAACCGGTGGACGTCAAGAGGTTACCGAGTGAGTTGTCTGAAAATTGTACTACCTGGATTTCATTGGTCAACTTGACAAGTTGCTCCTCTTGCTTTTGCTTGAGTTTGAGAATTTGCTCATGGTCACGCTTCTTCTTTCTCATTTCCTTCAGTTCCAACTCCAGCTCCATGATCCTTCGCCGCCGCTCCTCTGCGATCCTGAAGAGAGGGCACGCATTTGTCAGCATCCGAACGAGACCGTGCAGTCTACCGATGGTTGACGCCGACTTGCACCACTCTTGTATCTTACTTTTGCACTTGGATCTTTTTGTGAGATTCTTTCTGCTCTGCTTCGAGCTGCTGTTTCTCGCTTTCCAGGGAAAGGAGTTTCTGCTCCACCTCTTGATACTGCATCTGAAGCTCAGCCACCTTGGCCATATTGGCTGTCAGTTTTTGTACCAGATCCTCTTTCTCCAGCAGCTCTTCATCCAGATTCTACACCAAGAACATGCACAAAAATTTGTATGTTCTAGGGCCAAATTGAAGGTAAAAATACATTAGAACAAGGGAAAGCTTCAATACATGGAGGTCAGTCTGTAGTTTGGCTCGTTGCATCAACCCCTCCTCTTCGTTGTACTCCGACTCGACGACTTCCGCATGACCATCGACTGCTTCCTTGGAGGAAGCTTCACACACCGGAAGACGAAGGGAACGCTCCTGGTTCAACCTCTCCTTTGCACACTCATCTTCATCATGCTGTTCAGGATCAGTGAATTCATTAACCTCATCTATGGGTATGATGCATTTACCTGTCATTGAGATTTTCCCCCCAAATAGGTAAGCATGGATATGCGTATTCTGTTACAGTTGATATGAACAAAAAACGTTCAACTACAATAAAACAAAATGAATGTTAACTAAAAAAATTGGTAAATTAAAAATCCAGCCCACATTACAGGAAAAAACTCCCAATTAGTGGTGAGCCCATGGATCTAAAACTCTCCTCTTGAGTGGTTAATCATGTGAACCAATAGACAGCTTCTTAGTGAGATTGTTACAGAAATACTGTAAGGTATGCCATGAACAGTCAGTCATGCATATAGCCATGACTTTTCTTGACTCTTTTACCTCTATATGTCCAGGACTGGTAGATTTGCAGTTAACTGGAATGATCCCATGACAGCATTTAGAAATGTTCTTTTTGCATTCACCCTACTGCAACTACGTACTTTGGTTTTATAACTTCTATCAATGCTTTTTCAAAAGTTTGCAATTTTACAACAGGACAACTAGTAACTGCAATATTATTTTTAAAAAACTCAAAGCACAGACACATGTACAAAATCTCAACTGAAAATATCAAAGGGAATCAGAAAAGGGTTGTCACCTTCCCTTATTAAAAAAATGTTATCAGTTTCACAAATGAAAAAACTGGTGAGGGTAGTGATCAAAGTCATATTTTGCGAAAAGGTGATATTCTCCCCAAAATTTTTCCTCTTCTGATGTCTACTTCCTGAAAGACCACAAATGTAATTCATTGAAAGGTATAAGCCAAGATGACAACCTCACCTGTATAGCAATGACTTGCTGATAGATCTCTTCCAGCTTCAATTTATGACTTTGAAGAGTCTCTTGAGAAACATTTGCTGGCATGACGATGGACCCATCCAAAAACGAATTGTTGAAGGAAATCTGGGCCTGGCACATGCGATCCTTCAGCTCCTCGATCTTTCGCCTCATCCTGACGAGCCCGGACTCGGCCAGCATGCTCTTCTCGTACAGGATGCGGGCCTCGTCCAGGGCGGAATGAAGATGCGTCTTCAAGAAGGCGTTCTCGGATTTCAGTTTCCTCACGAGGGCCTGACACTCCTGAAGTTCCTCGGAGCTTTGCCCGCCTTGACCTGCCAGCAGGCGGGCCTGCAGCTGGGAAAGCTATAAATCCACAAGCAGATGAATGTAGAAGCCAAAACATTATACTGTAGGCCTAGGAATTTCAGCAGTCCCATAAAATAAAGCGACTCACCTGTTGCCGCAACTCAGCGATTTCTGCAGCACGGGGATCCCGGTTGATCACAGGTTTGTTCTGGATGAGTTGAGCAATTTCAGCATACGACAACGTGCTTGTAGTCTCAGAAAGGTTGGAATCAGCCGGTGAAACACATGCTATCATGAGTGTCTTGGAGTTCCCACCCAGGGAATCTACAAAAGGAAATGCAACAAAGCAATTAGATCACCTAAGCTTCCTACAAGAAGTGAGAAAAACCAAGTTTGATGTTAAATAAACCAAAGCTCTGCTTATAAAGTTTATGAATAAAAGGGAAACAAGGCATTAGGCTTTGGAGTAGACCACTGAGACGAACAGTGAAGGCCTCATCTGCTGAAATCTTGACATCGTAACTAATTACACAGCATTCAAGATGTCATGACTTACATGGCAAACAGTCCAGTATGTCGCTTGAAAAGGAATCATATGCAGATAAAACGCCACTGCATCTCCTAACATAATTCTCATATGGATTGTAAATAAGTAGAAAGCAACCTGAACCAAGAGGAGGCACACGGCTCACCCTGAAGGAGGCGGGTTAGCTTAGAGTCCCTGTAGTTGATGTACTCCTTTTTACTACAGTGGCCAGTCAGCACATTTCGAAGAGCCAGGAGACCCAAGTTGATCTTCTTCCCTTCTTCGAATCGCTCCCCAGTGGCATGGGTCTTCTTTGCGTTCTCTGACCCAGCGAGGTCAACCAGATGGAATTTCCCGGTCCTTTCTTCTTTCCTGTTCCAAAGTTGAACATTGATTCATCTTGCTGGAGCACAAAAAGGTTTAATTATCTCTAAGGATTATAATGTAAAAAAATTTAAGAGCATGGTTAATTCAAGGTATAAACAGAAATCTAAGTAGCCAAAGAGTGAAATATTTACCTTTCATGCACCTCTAGCTTTTCAAGGGCAATGATAATTTGATCATTTATAACCACTTAAAATTAATGACCTAAAACAAAGAAAAAGAACCTGTTGATAATTCAGAGGAAAAGAGGACTCACTGGCCATTCTCAGAGACAATACTCTTTATGACGACAGTGAAGATGGCATGGCTTCGACTGGACTGCATGTTCATGGCCGTCGCACCTGTGACGCGTCTGAGACCTCCCTAAAATGAAGTTGCAGCTTGATGTCATGAAGAGATATCACTCTCTCAAGGCACACAAGAAGCAAACAAGTGCAATTAGGCCAATAACAGAAAGTAAGCAAAATAAAGCAGATATCAGCATTCAGGCAAAAACCAGAAGCTGAGGAGACAATACCTGCTTTAGTAGCACCAAAGTTTCATCAAGACTGGTAACTGTGCTCTCAGAGAGGTTTGGGATGTAAGCGCCCCCCGTTGCAGCTTCCCTGATGTCCAGAGGAGAATTTCCTTGTTCTGAGAGGAGGTCCTGCAGCTTCTCCTTGTACAGCTGGTGTTACATTCATAAAAATTTATATGAAGACAGAGGAAAAACTGCATATCATGGAACATATGATTAAGTAGTTACATGCAGTGCAAGTCAATTCTGGAAGGACAAAATAGCACTACTTAATGCTTCAAGAAATATATACACCATATATTTTTCCCATGAGATGGACACAAACTTGATATAAAAAGACTCTAAACTCACTTCAATGAAGGAGACACGGACAGTAGTATTTTCAGAATCCTCAGAGCTGTCGATGGTGGAGAAGATTTCTTCCACGGCCCTCGGAATGATTCCGGCATCATCCGACGTGCTGTTGCGGAAGTCGGTGCCCATGGTGTAGGTCTTTCCTGAACCGGTCTGTCCGTATGCAAAGATGGTCACATTGTACCCTGGTGATGTGAAAATTACAATAAATGCATATTCCAAAGTGAATAAACACTTTAAAAACTACAAAAGAAAGCCCAGCAGACCTTTGAAAAGGTTGGGGATCATGGGACGCACGCAGCAGTCATATATGTAGCTCTGCCCGGCGGTGGGATCGAAAGCGAAGTTGTATGCAAATGCCTTTTTTGCACTATAGATAAGAACTTGGTTCTGATTCACAAAGACTGCCTGTTTGCAGCCTTCGGTAGTTTCTTTCTCCACAAGTGGCCTCACCCTAACAGCCACTTTGATGCTGTCTGAGGTTGGCTTCGGCATGGCGAAGACTAGTATCGGCCTGTGGCAGATGGTTTTGGCAAAAAAAAAACAAAAAAAATCACCAAGGAAGTGTTGAAACTAAGGTTGATCTTAGATTTTGACTGTCCAGGCAGATAGGAGCACTGGCCAACAAATCATTCATATCTAGAGCATAATGGAAAAAGAACAGGGGAGCCCCAAATGATCATCATGGAATATGCAGAACATTTCACACTTTTGGAAAAACACAAGGAAAATGATTAGGTCCATCCACCAAGATAAAAAAAAACCCATGTAACAGATTTTCCTCAGAACATATGGACGAGGACTGACATCAACCCAAGCTAATAATAGCACACCATCAAGGTGGATTATACATGATGGTAAACTTCTAGCCGGATAAACTTTAGGCATGCTCATAGGCCCACTACCAGAGGTGGCAAAAAGTTGGTCACACTAAAATTCATACATTTAATTTCATTTCCTAGCAGTTGTTTCTGTCTTAAAACCTGGTTATTAGAAAATTCTACTCTGGGTGTCACCTCCTGACAAAGATCCGTGAAGTGTCATACGTGTCGCTAACCAGCAACAGCTGTGTTCAGCATCTCTCCCCCCCAAGGCAGATTGTGACTCAATATCTTGCCTCAATGAGAGTCTCTACCTAGGTATTTGCTGTCAATTGTTGGAAGGGAAGACAAGCAAACTGGGTGCAAGATAAAATGGACTTCAAAAGTACATTTTGAGCAAAAGCTACCAATTTCTTTGAGGTCTCTGTTCTACCTAATTTTAATAACTCTACACCAATCTCAATAAATGCTACTTGAGAGATTTTAAAGTCCAAGCATCTTAGAAAAATTGCAAGACATTTCAGATCAGTCCAGCAATCATTAAAGACAACAATTACTTTAGTCTCTCCTTGGATAATGATGATAATGAATCCTACTCCACAAAGATGATTATGAGGAGAAATCTCATCAAAATTGCGACACAAGTGTGTTTTACATGAAGTGGATGTAGGGTAAAATCATTCAAGTTCAGACATCATCCAGTTCTTTGCAGCTTGGAGGAGCTATTTGAGGGTGACCTCATAAATGCTTTTTCAACATATCCTTTTATTGCATCTGAACTTGGCTTTATTCTAATAAGAAACTTCCTCTGAGATTTTTGCTTCTTGAGGTTCCTGGAGCAATTGGAGTTTCAATTCAATCTTTCTCAAGTTGCAGAACTCCCTAGAAGTAGTCATACTCATTCTCATAGCCATCTATACTGGCTCACATCAGTGCATCATTTCTTTCCCCTTAATTCTTAGAAACGAGGAATAACATCACTTCAATACATGAGTATTGGTCAAAGAAAGAAACCTGATTATGAGCAGTCCTCAAAATTCATGGACTTTCCTTTACCTTTCCCTGCAGTAGAGACCGATTGATCTTCCATTGCAACATCAAACTGACATTCCCAATGACAGGAAAAACTAGAAAGAGACCTGCAAGTCGACTTCTAAGGACACCATGGCAACAGCTGAAAAGACTTATGCCGAGCCAACAGTTAGGCCTAACGTTACGTTTACACTTCAATGAAACGGTAAAGCATAATCATACACCTTTTCTGACCGTTGAAACCAATCTGAGAGGTGAAAAGGTGCTTCCGGCCATGTTCTACCACCAGTACGCAACCCGGAGTGAGTTCACGCAAAACCCTCGACAGGAGCACAGAAAGCGCAAAGACGAAGAATTGAAATCCATGCGAGCCAGCCAGCCGCGGGGCCCGGGTCAACGGTGAACTGCATGCTGCCGACAGTGTTGCCGGATGAATCAGTGTTTGAGGTAAACATGAAATAGTCCTCCTCGTTCATTGCGATCGTGAATATAGCGATCTCACGCTTTTTCCGATCAACCGTTGCCAGTCCATTCCGTTTAGTATTTTTTTTACTGCATCTTTCGCCTGTCATTGTAATCAGTTTTGAACGGATACGGTGGTCAGTCTCGGTCGAAAATCACACCTTCAAATGGAATAGACCCTCGTCATGACATCACTGTTAATTGCTGATTCAGGCGCTTTTCATCGAGTCAGTTTGCTCGTTCCTGCGATAGCGAAATCTCCGAAGAGCAAATCGACTGAAAGAAGCTCATCTTGCCGCGTTCCGCAGGTACGTGCCATCTCTCGGCCAATACTCACCCGTTTCTCGGGGCTAAATGGAGGAGCTATGGACTGAAAAACTCGGTAAATTGAGGAAAAATCCCCCATTCAATTTCCTCCGGGATCTTCAAGGATGAAAAACTTTAACAAAGAGCGAGGAGATGCTTCGACGCTGCGATAACCCGATGAAAGGAGCCCAAAAACGGAAATATAAACTTCACCGAGGCGTCGTGATCCCTGACTATGAAATTTCAGTAAGAACCCTGACACTTTTAATTCTGGCGACAATTACTGATCAATTATTTGGTGTCGCGATGGTTGCAAGACCACAAGAGAAAAATTTTCAGAAAGTTCTTCAATGCAAGAGATAGCAGGGTTGTTACCGAGAACAATGCCACCAAGTGTGACAATAATATAATATTTATACCCAATTCCTTGCATTCAAAGAAGCAAAGCAGAACAACATATGAACATAAAAAAGACTTTATTTTGCTAGGACATATCAATATTGACACTTCCCAACAAAATTTCACAATCTCTACATTTAAAATATCAGTGTTTCACCGTCCTGAATTGTACGGACAAAGTGTCCTAAGAGAGTCAGATGTCACAATGTCTTTAAAAAGCAGAGCTGCTAATAAATTAGAAGCAATCATTAAATTTATTAGTTCAAAATTTTGCTAAAAAATTTAGTGATTAACTATATATAAATAGGCACTCAAATTTCCCTTCAAATGGAATAAACATTGACTGGGTGATGCACATTGCATTACATACCCAGCAATATGTGTAAAAACCTGAGACATCTGGAATGTCATCACGTCATTCTTGATAGAATGACGTGATGTGATGAGATCATCATCATCAGGGAGATGAAAGACCATCAATGACATTTCCTCTGCCTCTTTTAAGCTTTCTCTCCCTTACTAGATGAACTCATAGTAGCTTACAATTAGATCAATAGATTGTGCATCTGGTAATTAAACCATTAAAATTATTTAAAACAATCAGCAGCTCTAATTTTGAAATTACTTGATTTTCTTCAATGAAAAAGGCCACTCATCATCCCAGTTAATATCAATCATCACATCTTCCTCAATGAGACAAAATCTGACAATCTACTTGAAAACACAGCTCTTAGCTCACTGTGCACCGCATTCGTTGTCCTCAACCGAGTCGGCTGCGATCACGTGTCGTTCGAGAGACGCATCGTCCTCGGCGAAGGACACGGCTGACTCGTATCTTCTCCAGACGACTGTGAGTCTTGATCGTTCTCCTCGATTGATTTTTCGACAACAAAGGTTGCATCTAGGTCCTAGGAGAAAAAGGAAACATCATATAACCAGTCAAGAAATCATGAATAATTGATGCATGGAGTTTCTAAGTTCTTACTCTGTTGACACAATTGCTGCATTTGCAGGAGTCACTGCATTTCCTGTCGTTCTTCCTGCACGAGCAGTTGCGTTTCTTGCATCCAAAAGTGCAGCGGCAACCTTCAGACTTTCTTGCATTGGGCAGCTGCAGCGGATGGACATGTCACTTGACCGAGGAATCTCGTGGGAGTACATCTACGAAGTCTAACTCAAACGATAATAGAAGAAACTCACTCGATTCTTGCGGATGAGCTTTCCCAGGGGGGTGTGGACCCAATCGGGGTCGGCAGTGCAGTCGTCGTCGCTGACGGCGCCGTCGGAGTCGAACTCGGACGGGGAGTACCGGGGAACCTTCGTCTCTCCGATGGTTTCCAGATTCGTCTTCCTCTTCTTTACCTTGTCTTTTGCCGGTACTGCGAGGCTGGGACGTGCAAACGTCACAGTATCGTCTGCCTCTGATAGGGCATTCACCATGGGGGAGCAGGCCTGGCTGATCGTCTTCTTAGGTGAGAGGAGCTTTGGCCAGGTGAGTGGCAGGGATGCATCCACATTTGACTCCAGTTTCATTAGTGGAGAGGAGCCCTGGTCCATTGTCTTCCTGGGATGCTGCAAAAAAGGAAGCAATAGCAATGCAGTTGCAAGAATGTGAACAGAGCCAAAGCAGCATGCCTCAAATTACCTTTCGCTGCGAGTCACGGAGGAGTTCCAACTCCTCTTCCCGCTCTTTCAGTGCATCATGGAGATCCGAGAAAGAGCCGAGCTGCTTCAGGATGGCATCATTCCCATTGCTACCATTCATCTGGGATGATGAAAACTCACGGAGAAGGCATAATATCTGGAATGCAATAAATAAGATGTCATGAAGCATTCAAGCCTTTTTGACACACATGAAACATTTCACCTCTCATGTGCTGTCTGGCGTGATTATGGCATGTACAGCATCTCAGTTGACCAGGATGAAAACTCCATTTGGTTTTGGCATCTGCCATATGCAGGTGACTTTTTAAAAACAGATTTGGTCTTGTATATTAATGCTACTGCAAGCGAA